TGGTCCATTAAGTCATTCATTCACTAATTGTTTGTACTGTGAGAGATCCAAAGATTAAGTTTCTATCTTGTATGTAATGTAGATCACCAGGAAGAAAAATGTTGATTCATACTATTATCCTCAATCTTTTTCCTTTCCTCTATGACTCCTCATTTTTACTTCATGTTTTACTCTTCCTCCTTCACTGACTACCTTAACCCATCACATCAGTTTGTTCTTAAACACACTGAAAATGAATCTTCACTTCTATATTAGTGTCTGACATCTAATTTTCAGTATAGATGGTGAAATATTAATTCAAAATAACTATTAACCATTTAGAATGAATGAATCAGTTATCAATAGCTAACTAAGGGTTTGTGGTGGCTACTTGTTTTAAAGTTAACTTTCTGGTGAAATGCTTTGTACAATGTCCAGTATGCAGGAGGTATTCCATAAGTTGTTGCTGAAAGAATATGTCAACCTCTCCAAATTTTGGAAATATTACATCTGCTATTCTCCCTTGTTTTTTCTATCATTGAAGGGCATTAAATTGTCTTCTCTGTTTCTTTATTACAAAGCTACTTTGGCTATCGCCCAGGAATGCTGTTGTGAATGGTTGAAAATTGACTGTTGATTTGTCCAGGCATCTTTTCTAAGTTCAATGTGAGTTGAGTGATATTAACTGCTAAACTAACTCATTTTTACTTCTATCATTGGGCTCTAAAAAATTCTTCTCTAATATTTGATATGATATCTTCTCTAGTTTTGAATGAATTATGAAAAATAGTGTCTAATGCTTTTGAAACAAAATTTCCAGTTCTTATATTTCATATCAACAAAACTCCCTGTTTGAATTCACATGTATAATTTTAAATATTCTGGCAAATTGTCTTTTATGTTATAGTTTAGTTTAGGGCTAGTCTGGTTTTGGTGGTTTCCAGTTAACTGTTTAGAACTGAACATCCATTGATTGATTGCCTGTTTCACAGTTTCAGAGACCTTGTTACTCTATGTGAGATCAAAGGAAAATACAAAAACGAATTAGTTGAGGATTATGTCTTTCCCCTATTTAACCACATTTTTCTAATTTAGGTGGTAGTTTTTGCTTATTAGCTGGAGATTTTCATACCTATGGTAGAAATAAGTGAACATTGATCCATTTCCACTTTTTAGAAATAGTAAGTACTTAAGACTTTTAAAAGAAAGCACATGATGAAATTCTAGACTCTCATACTATTTTTTCACTTCTACACATATTTATTCTAATTAAAAAAATTTTTTTTAATGTTTTATTTATTTCTAGGAGAGAGAGAGAGAGAGAGAGAGACAGCGTGAGCAGGGCAGGGTCAGAGAGAGAGGGAGTCACAAACTGAAACAGGCTCCAGGCTCTGAGCTGGCAGTCAGCACAGAGCCCGACGCGGGGCTCGAACCCACGAACCGCACCCAGGCGCCCCTCTAATTAAAAATTTTCTAATACTGAAAAAGTTTCATGGAAATCATTCAGTTTAAATATTTCTTTTTAGTAAAATAGTTTAGACATACAATTTATATGTAATATAAACACCTGTGTACTCAAGATTCAGTCTGAGATATAAAGTACTTAATATTCAGCTGAAGTTCCCTGTGATGTCTTCCCAGTGCCATTAACCTCCATTATTTCCAGAGATAACCTCTACCCAGAATTTCAGGTTTATCATTATCATGGATTTTTATATACTTTTGCCACATGTACATATGCTCAAAAATTTATATATATACATATGTAATATAATTATTTTTGCAGGTTTTAAAACTTGATACATAAATGGTATCATCCCACAACTATCTTTCTGCAACCTGCAATTATTGTGGCTGCTTCACATCACATTTTTGAGAGGTATCCATGCTATCTCAAATAGCTATAGTGCATTTTTTTTCAGCTTCAAGTATCACAGCATGTGACTGTTCCATAAATTACTTGTCCACTTATTTATCTAAAGGTGTTTAGATTTTTTTCCTTTTCCCTTTTTTCTTCTTCCAAGTAATTCTGCAATGGGTATTTTCTGTACATGTGAAGAGAAGTACACAGGAGTAGAGAGTAAATTTTAGGAAAAAAGATCTTTAATTATCTCTAAACTGCTCTCTGAAATTGTCCTATTATAAACTTCCCATGGTTTCTCCACATTCTCATCTTTCATATTGCTGGACTTACACATTTTTGCCAATTTTATACCTGTGAAATTATATCTCATCATTTTAGCTTCCATTTCTCTAATAACTAGAGTATCTTCTTCATGTTTATTGGACATTGAGAGTCCCCTTCTGTCAATTGACTGTTCATCTTTTTGGCTCATTTTTTCCTATCATATTTTTTTGTCTTTGTAAGTTTGTAAGAAAGTTTTATGTACTAGAATACTAGTCTTTCTTTGGTTACATGCATAGCATATATCTTCTCTCAGTCTATGCCTTGACTTTTTTGATGCACATACATATTTAATTTTCATATTTCAAAATTAATATTTTTCCTTTTGGACTTCCTTTTTAATGTCTTTATGTGTAATAAACCCTTCCAGTCTACACAAAATCACAAAGCCATTTCTCTTTAAAAGGTTTTAAGTTTTGCTCTGTATCTTTAAGACTTTATCCTACCTTAAATGCATATTTAGGTGTGAATTTGAGAGCTAGCATATAATTTTTTCATATGCCTAATCTTTGAATTTTCCCTGAGTATTGTCTAATGCCACCTGTTATTTATCAAGCCTCTATAAATTCAGGGATTTGTTTCTGAGTCCCCTGTTCTCTTCCATTGGACTAATTTCTATCCCTGAACCAAAGCTACACTGTCTCTGACAGCTGTCTCTGACAGCTACACTGTCTCAATTACTGTCATTTTATATTGTCTTAATAGTTCATATGGGGGCTCCTGGTGGCTCAGTTGGTTAAGCGTCCGACTTTGGCTCAGGTCATGATCTCACAATTCGTGGGTTCGAGCCCTGACGCAGGGCTCAAACAGACAGCCAGCTCAGAGCCTGGAGCATGCTTCAGATTCTGTGTCTCCCTCTCTCTCTGACCCTCCCTTGCTCACGCTGTCTCTCTCTCTCTCTCTCTCTCTCTCAGTAATAAATAAAACATTTTTAAAAAATTAAAAAAATAGTTCATATGGAAATTATCCACACCTTGTTCTTGCTTGTATTGTATATAAAATCGTATTGACCAGTTTGACTCTTTACTCCTGCAGACAAATTTTAAGATTAACTTTTCAAGTTCAATGAAAAAGTATAGTGGGCTTTTAATAATAATTACATTAATTTTATAAATTAATTTACAATATTGAGTGTCCCCTCTAGTAACAGATATGTCTGTTCATTTATTTTGGTTTACTCTTTAATTTTAATAGATAAGTTAGCCATGGGCCAAAAAGTGACTGTTCAAAGTCACATAGCCTATTAATAATAAAACCAGTAATAGAAGGTCTCTTGACTCCTTAATAGCTCATACACTAAAAAGACTTAATTTTTTAGTTGGTTAAGAAATAAGATGGTGGAGTCCTTTCAGCCATTGCTAGTGAATCCAACTTCTGAAGTTTACTAAGTCCTTGATAATCAGAGTGTGGTGAGAGGGCTTCTCAGAAATGCAGAATCTCCTTACTTCTCTGGTTCTACCAAAACAGAAACCTCATCTTGAAAAGATTCCTGGGTCTTTGGTAGGCACAGTAGTTTGTGAAGTATTGCTTACCAAACTAGAGTCTTGAAATTGGTTGCATCATTTTTTTTCTAAAACCTGTCAAAAATGCTAGTAGTAATCTTGAGATCATTGAATTGTGCATGGTTCAGATAAGGAACGTTGAGAACTTATATAATGACCCTTAGGTCTTGTTCTTTGACCATAGGCTTATAGCAGCCATCATCTGCTCTGCTGAATGTATATCAAAAGTCCAAAATGAGAGGAGATTGTCTAAAAATATGTATCCATAATCATATTCCTTTAAAGAAAAGATAATATTAAGGTTTTTTTCCTAAGAGCACCATCTCAAGAAGACTGAGGTTTCTTTGGGTATCTATAGTGATTCAGGAAACAAATACATTTGCTTTGAAATCACTAGCTGCTCCAAATTGGCATTTTATCTACTAAATGACATTGGGGGAAATTCTGTTGAAAAAAAAGATGCAATACTGAGGAGTCAGAAGCACAGAAGATTCGGTCTTTAAAGTAAAACGAAGAGAGATCAGACGATGTTTTCAAGTAGTCATATACTATTCATGTTAATCTCGGTTCAACCTTCTTATTTAACTACTACAGCAGCCAGTTGTCTAGAGGGGCTGGGGCTGGGAGGGTGGGGGAGAAGGTGAGGAGAAGGGATAAAAAAAAAAAAGAAGAAAGTGAGATTCCCTGCAATATCACTTCGAGCCACTAGGGGTATCTTCGTACCATTTTTCATCCTGCACCGATTTGGAGTAGAAACCTCTATTAGGGGAAAACCAGGGTCCTCGGCATTTTTTGCGAGCAGTGCACCCAGAATTCAAAAAGATTTTTTAAAAAGAAGAAGAAAGAAAGAAACCACAGTTCTTTTGGTCACCCGAACAGGGCTACGAAGTCTCTCTACTGGACATCAGCACCAGGGATTCATTTTTGAGGTCAATTTCCAATCGAGATAAATCTATTGGATTAGTAGGATTATCTGATTGCAGCCGAAAGAAGTAACGTTGTTTGATCATTTGTGTTTCTTGCCTGATGGTCGGATTTACATGGAGGTGGCTTTGGGTCCCGCGGATTCTGGATCGTGGTTTCATCTGGAGAGAAAAAAGGATCAATCGACACGTTTTGGAAGTGTCCGTGGGTGAATAAAAAAAAGGGGGGGGGTGTGAAACTGGGGTTGCGGCTACTTAAAGAAGAAAAATAAATAAATAAAGAAGGCATCCTGAATTCTTAAACAAGAATTACCGGTGCTCAAAATTAAAAAAAAAAAAAAAAAGCATCTAGAAGCTGATAAATACTTTGACCAATTCAGCTTAAATTTGACGGCGAAGTGTTGTAGAAACTGTCTCCTTGAATGATTGGAAGGGGACTAGGGGAGGATGAGGGGGCTCCCTCTGCGGATTTATCTTCCTGAGGGTAAGTTTGGGGGTCTTTTGTTGGGAGGGGGCTGCCTGGGTTTGTGTGCTGCTGCGCGGTAGGTGCTGCGGACGCGGTGCCAGTGAAATGGGGAGAGAAGGGGGGATGTAAAGCCACCTCGCGCTTCTCGGGGTGGATCGCTAGGGAGCTACCCAGATCGAGCTTAAAAACCTTAATTTGTGGCGTCGGTGGGGAAGCCAAACAACCCTCCAAGCTCTCAACTTTGCATTGAAAACCTTTTAGTTGGGAGATCTCTCTTGGATCCAGTGCTTTCCTCCTAGTGATACTTTAAAGAGAGGTAGCAGAGATGCCTTGGAAAACCTGCTTGTGCAGAAGGAAAACCCAAGTAGAAATCGGTGCTGCCTCAGCCCCGGTTTCGGCAGCTGTCTTGGCTTCTAGGAGAATTTTGCAGGGGGAATTGGCTCTTCTCGTATTATCTTATTCTCCCTCCTTCCTTATTTCCCCTTTCCCTTCTCACTCCCGGTTTTTTCAGCCGAACGCTAAAGGGTTACAGGGTCATTGCATCGTATAGACATATAGGTGGGTGACTGGCCACACATGTTGTCTTGTAATTCACTCGCACGGCTTTGCATAACAGTCTGAGATAACTTTCTTGGAGTTGGAGGAGTCCAGGGAGGCGTTGCAGCCTTAACGCCGAGGGCCCGGACTGGCGAGTGCGCCAGGCAGCCGGCTGCATTTCTGATGCATCCCTGCCCTGGCTGCCTCGGAGTGCCTTTTCTTTCCAACTGAGCGGTGCGCGCGCGTTCCAAGACGTTTTCTTGCAGCTGAATACATACATAAGGATTTTCCCCCTTTTTATTATCTTATTTTATTTTTTTAACTCTCAAGAAAAGATCGTCATTATTTGCAGAAGGAAAATCAATTTCAGCAGATGTAATTAAAATTAATCACTCAAATGAGTGAATATTAATTGACTAGGAAACTAAAAGTTGCTTTGGAATCCAGAAAAGCATATTATTCTGAACCAATTTTGGAACCTACATAGGTTCAGAACAATAACATATAAGAAGTAATTCATTTAAAATAGATATATATAGACATGCTAAATAGATTGATGAATATCCCCCATCCCTTTATACCTTCTGACATCTCAGCATTATAATTTTAGTTGGTTCTTCCTATTTAAGGCCAATTCATTAAATTTTAAACCTTCAGATATCCAAATACATTAGAATAAAGTAAAGATAATTGTTGAAATGTAAAATAATTTTTGTACAGTTTTATCTGTAAAGAAAAGCATCAAATATTTTTTCAGGGGCTTCTGTTTACAGGCTATGATATGAATGTGGATATCTTTATGGCTTTAGCACTGAAGCCTCTCCATTATGTGTGAACTCCTGAAAGGCAGCTCTTCAAAGTCATCTGAAGCACTCATCATCCCAGTACTTATTTCAGGAATTCCAAATACAGCAGACATTCTGGTATTAAATGAGGAGCGTTGCCAAACTTTCTTCCTGGTTTTGTGTGTGTATATGTGTTTCTTAAATCTAAGTTCTGAGACAAGCTCAATACCATTCCCTTTTTCTTTTTTAAAATGAAATAGCAAAATATAAAACTTTGTCTCCTATGGATTCTATGGTGGAAAAGTTAAATATTTCCTATTTATGCTGATTTTGTGTGAGCTTGCCTAAAGGTGACAAAAATAGCAAAAAACAACTAGTTTTTATAAGCCCAACTGTTAGTTTTAAGGAGATATCTGAGAGGCTAGATTTGCCTTTCTTTTACGCAGCTCTAAGTTACATGGTTCATGTGCAGTGTGAGCTAGAAGAATGGATGTTCTGTGTATTGGTACATTCTAGCCACTGATCTTAGCCACACAGTCCAATATTAGTTAACATCTTTTTTCACGGTTTAAATTACTTTAAAAAAAGACAGTTAGTAGATAACAAATTTAATGATGTAGTAAATAAATAACAAAGGTGAAAGGGTGATGAACTGGAATTTTTCGTCTCAGGCTAGTAGAAAATATAATGTTGATATAAAGGTAGATGGTAGATATGAAACATGAGAAAGAAGGTTCTTTTAGAAGTTAACTTGTATATTTCACAACCACTGAACTGGTAGTCATGGCGTGTACCATGGTGCTGAAGCAGAAGATTCAGCCTGAAGTGCCTTTGTCATGGCTGAACAATGTTTCTTTCTGTCAAGAATAATCAAACTTTCTACTCCCTCATTTTATTCTCTTTCATCAGTGAAAAAGAAAAAGGGGAAACTTTGGCCTACTCTTTGGTCATTCTACAAGCAGTTCCTGCACAAAACTTTAGTAACTTTGCAGATAGTAGATCCACTTTGGAAGGTCAATAGTGATGGAAATAAACATAAAATTACATGCCACAAAATTGTTTAAAACTGTAGCTAATAAATAAGAGCTAGGTACCCAGTTATAGTAATAGTCTCTGCTAATAGAGTAGATCACTGTAATAACTATTGATAAGCCCAACCATTCACTTAGAAAATTAATTGCATTTTGCTCTACCTTATCCGAACACATATCTTTGGTTGTGATTATTTAAAAAAAACATGGTGGTCTTAATCAGCTGTTCCAATTTTGCTGAAGAATAACACAAAATGTGACAGTTTGGGAAGAACGGATGGAAGCTCTCAATTACCCCAGAAAATTGCAAGCACAGAGCCTGATATATGTGACAAGAAATAGCACTGGATGGCCCAAAGCTTTTGACTATGGATAAACTGATATTTCATTCCCTGGACAGCTGCACCTGTCCCTCAAAAACCTCACATGTGTTCTAACTGACTTTACATTCAGTGGGAGTTAAGATATTTACTGCAGCTTCCTTCTATGACTTTGAGATGATTAAATACAGTTAAATGCTATTCTACATTAATTGATTTTTGAAAAGAAAATTATTATACACTCTTAATTGAAAGTAAAATGAAAAGGGCAATACTTCTTTAATGATTGGTTAAAATTTAACATATGACATCCAAAAATGCAAATCTTCTCTTTTTCTTTCTCGAGAAATGTAAAAACACAACAAAAGTTTCCGTTAATTTTAAATTTCAATTTTTTAATATCTCAAATTTCAAAGCCCAGAAAATTACAAAAAGATGGTGAACACTCATGATGAATTTGGAGTATCCTTTTTAATACCTTTTAAAAGCTAATTGAAAATATTTTGAGGTAGCTAACCTGTGGGGTTAATCTTGTGGGGTAGCAACATTCTCAATTGTTTTTAAGGAGTGATTCCTTAACAGTAAAAATTTTTTATGATTTTGGCTTTGTTTTTAATGGAATCACATTAACAATTTATAATATGATTATGTTGGTATAAAAGGATATGAATTATTTCTGCCTTTAAATACCACCCTCCTCCCACTACCCCCCCCCAAAAAAAAACCCACCTGTTTGGTAGTAAACATACATAAAAGAGAAAGATTGCCAACTCTAAGCTTAATGAAGTCAGAGAAAACTAGTAAATCACTTCAGGCATTTGAAATTATTAGACATTAAACTTTTGAGGGATTTTAATATGAATTCATTTTATAACAGTCGATATAATCTCTTCTGTGCCTATTTCCGTTGCATGTAAGAGAAATTCTAGTCAATGGCAAAATGCTTTACTGCTGCCATTACTGCAGACTTTATAGATGAGAGACATGTCAGCATGTTAGCTTTAGCAGTAATGCCTCTTTTGTGTGAAACCTTATGGGCCTTGCAGGCAGTCTCTCATCTTGACACCCATAAAATGTTCAAGTCCCCATATTTATTATTTAATTTTTTTCCTATATATAGCAACAGAACAGTTCAATATATGGATGTGTAGTCAAAAAATGACAGGCAAGCCTGAATGGGACTAATGAGTTTTAATAATACACATATTAGGGACTGCTAAAGGAAGTTTAATTAAGAAAAACAAGTTGAGCATGAAATTCATTTTGGAACAAAAACAAGTTAAGTTACTGCTACAGATGTAAAATCAGAAACCACAGTGATAACATCCCCAGAAATAAAGGGTCCAGTCTGAGACTAAAGCTGCTTAGTGCAGTTGACATCTTAGGACCTGCCGTTGAGTTGATGAGCTTGGATTTGATGTATGAAATGGAAGAATATATACTTTTTCACAGTGTTCTCACTCTTCTCTGGTTTCTATAGCATTTTAGTTTAGTATTTTAACTATTATACAGCCACACTTTTCATACATAATACTAGTTCCCTTGAGTTGAGCCACACTATAGTCTTTTCTTCTGTAGGCTTCTTCTCTAACACCACATATGCCTGTAGTTAGAGGTACCTGATGAAGCCTATGCCATCCCTTTGGGTGTGCTGTAAGTGGTGCTTCAGTAAGAGAACTGCTTATTTATCAATTTACCTGCACCTATAATTCTGTAGGTGAAAAATTCTATAATTTTTCACATAGTTTACAAAATAAGTAGATTTATTTATTTGTTTGCTTCCATATTTGTTTATTTGGTAGTGCCAGTAGGGACAGGTAGAGGAAAAGTTGGGGAACAGATGGAATATTGGGCAAATATCTTCTTAGAATATGGTTTTCTTACATTTTGTCTATATCTAAATAACATAGTTATATTTTGAAAAGAGTGAAGATGTCAGGCAATGATATGAAGGTCTTATATGTGTTCCACAACAACTTCCCTTTTTGAAACATCCAACTAATACACTAACATTCTTTTGTACAGATCTTTGGTATCAATGTAACAGGAGTTTTTTCTCCATTAACACACCCAGTGAATGCTGCCTTTTAGGAGAAAAAGAGGTTAATTGTAACATTTTAAAGTGAACTGAAAATTCTTGCTGCCTTTTTAAAAAAGAGTTATGGTGAATACTTTCATAGTGTAATATGGAATACTCACTTTGCTTTGGAAGTTCAACAAAGTGCCTCATGAAATCAATGAATATTGATTTGATAAAAACTAACTTGGGATTGTCACGAGGATAAATTTTTCCCATAAGATAACCACTCCTCTTTTTTTAATATTTGTTTTTTAGAGAGTGAGAG